GTGAATTATAGTGTGCCCATTTAAAAAAACGAGTCAGGGTGCCTGGGTGGCGCAGTTGGTTAGGCAACTGATTCTCGATTTCAGTTCAGGCCATGATCTTGGGGTTATGGGTTCTGCCCTGTGTGGGGCTCTGAGTTCTGTGTGGGGTCTGCATAAGATTCTCTCTCCCCACTTCCCCTCCCCTCCCGGATGTTCACGTTCATAATAAATAATACTATGAAAGGAGGGACTTGAAATAAATAAATCTTAAAAAAAAAAAAGAGAGATATAGGGATCCCTGGGTGGCTCAGCGGTTTGGCGCCTGCCTTTGGCCCAGGGTGCGATCCTGGAGTCCTGGGATCGAGTCCAGCGTCAGGCTCCCGGCATGGAGCCTGCTTCTCTCTCTGCTTGTGTCTCTGCCTCTCTCTCTGTGTCTATCATGAATAAATAAATAAACCTTTAAAAAAAGAGATATAAAAATACTGAATTATTGAAAAGGGGCAAAATTGTTATTAAAAACAATCTCACAGGTGTGCCCAGCTGTTTCAGTCAGTAGAGCACGTGACTCTTCATCTCCAGGTTGGTGAGTTCAAGCCCCACATTAGGTGTAGAGATTACTTAAAAATAAAAACCTTTTTAAAAAACCCTCAGAACCCCAGCACACTAATAATATACTTTTCAAATATAATTTTTCACTTTTTGCACATATACCTTAAGATCTAAAATACGTTAAAAAAATAAAAATAAATTTAAAAAAAGATCTAAAATACATTAGGTTGATCTTACTCTTCTGTGCTTAATAGTCTATCAAGTGCATTTCCCATATTTCTAAGCTTATGTCAATCATTTAAAAAATTATTGTGGTTCAATATACCTAACATAAAATTTACCATTTTGACTATTTTTACATTTATGTTTCTGTAGCATTAAGAACATTCACATTGTTGTGGAACTATCATCACCATAGGACATTTTCATCCTGCCCAAATGAACTCTATACTCAATTAAATACTAACTCCCCTTTCCTGCCCTCCCCTGGCAACAGCCATCTATGACTATTCTAGGTATCTTATGTAAGTGGAATCATATTCGTATCTCTGTGTCTGGTTTATTTCACTTAGTATAATGTCTTCAAGGTCCATGCAAGTTGTCGTATGTGTCAGAATTTCCTCACACTTAAAAAATATTTTATTTATTTATTCATGAGAGACAGAGAGAGAGAGAGAGAGAGAGAGAGAGAGAGAGAGAGAGAGAGAGGCAGAGACATAGGCAGAGAGAGAGAAGCAGGCTCCATGCAGGGAGCCTGATGTGGGACTCAATCCTGGGACTCCAGGATCATGCGCTGGACTGAAGTCAGACACTCAACTGCTGAGCCACCCAGAAGTCCTGTCGTCACACCTTAAAATTGAGTAGTATTCTATGTGAATATACCACATTTTGTTTATCCATTCATCAATCAGTGGATACTTGGGCTGTTACCACCTTTCAGTTATCGTAAATAGTGCTGCTATGAACAGCGCTGGGTCTACAAATATCTGTTCAAGTCCCTTCCTTAGTTCTTTTGGACATATACCCAGAAGTAGAATTGCTGGACCATATGGTAATTCAACATTTAATTTTTAAGGAACCACTATACCATTTCCCACAATCTAATCATTTTTATTGGATGTATAATATTCCATTTGTTTCTATACCTTAATTTCCTAAGCCATCCCAGAATGTTTCCTAAAGATGTCTCAAGTTCTCATTTTTTTTCCCCATTGGAGGGAAATTAGTTTTGGGTTAGACAATGCTCCAGGTTTTTGTCCCAGTTTTAAAAAATTCACATATATAAATATATCATTACTTTTGATAGCTAATAATCAAGTTGATTTTTGCTTAGTGTCACCTTACAACTATTTTCCCATATCTAGGAAGTGCCCTATCTATGGGAGTAAGTCTTCTTAAGCTAGACCTCTGCTTTCCTATCAGGTGTATACTAGTGTATATTCAAACTTGAGTCAACTGAGTTAAATAGAAATCAAAATTCTTTCTCTCAGTTGCAGTACCCATATTTTGAGAACATAATAGTGACCCAGAGCTAGTGCTACTGACTTGGGTGGCACAGATATAGAACATTTCCATGATCCCAGAAAGTTCTGCTCCAGGCTGTTTTTGACGCTAACCTTTTGGCTATGGGTGAATTAGAGCTTATGAGTTATTTCCAGAAATGATTTAGTCCTAGGGGACAGGCTAATGATAACCACATTCAGAAAAGAATGTCATAAACTCTAATATATGAGTTTCATAATTTATAATTGGGCATATCTCCTCCGGGGGCAGGAATACTTCTGCATGCTCTTTCCCATATCACTCTTCTTCAAAATGCAAATCAGTGGCCTTATGTTTTTTGGTGATGGTACCTATTTCAAGCAGGGTCAAATTTCTTTTCCTTCCTTCAGGAATTTGGAAGCAGGAGGTGAAGTTTTTAGTCAAGTCTTCTAGGTATCTAGAATTACGAAACCAGGAGCACCAATCCTATCTCATTAGCAAAACACAGTTGGATCAAGCAACAGAAAGAAAATTAAAACAGGTAAGCAGAGATTAGGTTGCTTTAGGCTTTCTATATTCTGGTTCCTTAGGCCCATAGGCATTCCTGACTCTGGAATCAGGACAAAACCTACCCGCATCCTAATACTGAATTCTTGTATGCTTAAATTAGCCTGAATTGGTTTGCTATGTTGGGAATTAGAATCCTAATACACATCCTATGGATACATATCCATAGGATATGGATACATATACACATCCTATGGATATGGGTATTGACATTTTTTTTAAGATTTTATTTATTCATGAGAAACAGAGAGAGAGAGAGAGAGAGAGAGAGGCGCGCAGACCCAGGCAGAGGAAGAAGCAGGCTCCCTGCAGAGAGCCTGATGTGGGACTCTATCCTGGATCTCCAGGATCAGGCCCTGGGCTGAAGGCGGCGCAAAACCGCTGAGCCACCCAGGCTGCCCTGGGGAATTGACATTTTCACATTTGGTATGTGCAGTTGTGCATAAACTTTGTACTTAGGGGCTTCGAAACTCCCTATAGCCCCTCTGATCTTTCTCCACTTTTCTTCTTGCTTTGCTTCCTTCTCATCTTGAGTACTTAGGCTGTCCTCTCTTTTTTTTTTTTTTTTTTCCTCTTTTCCTTCCTTTGATCCAAGTATGCCATCTGTTATCTCTCCAGGTGTGGAAGCTTTATAAAATCAAGTCATGCTACGTATTAACTGATTTGATTCTCTAGCTTGTATTGCATTTTACTCTCTCAGGCCTAAGTAATTGGTCAACATTCATTAATCAATGACTGAATCAATAATCCCTGACAGGCCAAAGCAGTAAATGTCGAGCTTTAGAATCTGGTATGAAGATTACCAAGTGGGGTACTTGTGCAAGTCGTTGACATGCTGCTTTAGATGGACTGATTGGAAGGCACCTCTTGCAGGAGGACGGGATGAAGAGTCAGCTATGAAAAGAACAGCAGCATCAGTATCCCAGGGGCAGGGGCTCCTACAAGTGATCTAGGTGGGAACATGATTTGTGTTGCCAAGGAAGAGAAAGGAGGCCAGTGTGGCCTGAAGGAAGAGAGTAAGGCCGAGGAGCGGGAGCTGTGGTAGGCAAGGACTTCAGGCCCTGGTAAGAGGCTATGACAGTATCTGAAGAGTAATGGGAAAATCCTAAAGGGATTTAAGTCAGATCTCATCTGGCTTGTGTCTTAACCAGAAAAAAAAAAAAAAAAAGTCCCTCCAGGCTAGTCTGGAGAATGATCTATAGGAAGACAAGCAGAAGGCTGTAGGAGACCACAGCAATTGTTGGCAAGAGATCACAATGGGTACACCTGCGAGGGCTGAAGGCCGATGGTGATGGAGAACTTTGTGACCACATTTAAGAATCTGAAGGTAGAAAAATAAACTCTTAGTGACGAAGAAGTTATCCTTTTTACCTTTTAAGCAGTCAGCCCCTGTGCTAACGTCATTAATGAAGTAGACCTGGACCCTAAGAAGTCAAGAAGGGCCTTGACCTCGCAGTTTCATAGGCTCCGGGCTCACCGTTAACCAGTGTACCTTGGGTCTGGTCCAACAAACCCCCCAGCACAAAATGCCGTTACTTTCGTCGCTTGAGGACAGCGGCGTTTGGGTCGGTTCAAGTGGCACAGCCTGACTTCTAATTCCAACGCATGCTTTTTTAATTCGGTGTTGGCCGTTTTCCATTGCACAAAGCGAGAGAAGGCACCTTGCTAGCAGGATCTCTAACTCCCAGCAACCCGGGGCCAAACTCCTTCAGAACAGTCCCCCTCCCACGCATCCGAGTCCTGCGCGTGGGGTCCCGCTTCCCGCCGCACAGGCCGCCGCGCTCATTGTCCGCGCCCCGGGCCCCGGGCCCCGGGCCCCGGGCCCAGACCCCTGGAGGTCGCGCCGCGCGCGTTTCCTGCTCGGAGCTGCGAGGCTCCCGGGCGCGCTTCCCTCGTCCCCCTGCCCCCACCCGGATCCCAGGCTTCTGTCCCCCACATTTCCTCGCGACGCTAGGAAAAGGCACGGACGCGTCGTCGTGACCGCATCAACGGACGAGGAGGAACTTTTCTTTCGGTCGCTGTGGCCCTTTAGGCCACCGCGCGGTGAAAGTTCTGAAAGGCAGGCGAGGCGGCCCCAGCTGCTCCCGTGAGGGGCCAGTGCGCCTGGACACCGCGGGAGCGTGGACATGGCTTCTCCAGCTTGTCACCTTACGGGGACACACTCGGGCCCGCCTCGGGGTAACGCTCCGCGGGGGCCTCCGGGGGCGGGCCCGGGCGCCCCACGCGGCCGCGGCCGCGGCGCTCGCTCCCGTGCCTGCAAGGCGCGGGCTGCCCCCGGGCCGAGCGGAGCGGAGCCGAGCGCAGCGCAGCGCAGCGCAGCGCAGCGCAGCGGGACCTCCCGGCGGCGACGCTCTGGCCCGCGCCCGCTCGATGGTTTCCGCGCGGCCGCTCGGGCCCGCGCGGTCCAGTCGCCAGGGGGCGCGCTGGCCGGCGCCGCGGATCTCCGAGCTGCGCGGCCCGACTCGCGGCCGCCATATTGGATGCCGCAGCCGCCGCTGCCAGCGCTTCCTCCTCCGTCTTCGCCGCGCGCTGCTGGTTCCTGCGGCCCGAGCGGCGGGGAGGCGAAACGGGAGTCTGACGAGGGAAGAAGAAAGAGGGGGTGGAGAGTGCAGGAGACGGGGCTAGAGGGCGGCGGGCCGAGACCGAGCGGGGCGGAGAAGAGAAGGCGCCGCGGCCCGGCCCCTCCCCCGCCCGCTGTCGACCCGCCCCGGCAGCGCCTGTGTTCCCCAGACCGGCGCTCCGCCCGCCCCAGCGGCCATGCCGGGGCCTCGCTGCCCCTGAGGGAGCCCTTCCCCGCCCGTGCCTGCCCTTCCGCGCCTGCCCCGGGGTCGCAGCGGCCGGGGCTCCCGCCGGCGCCCCTGCTCGCGGCCGCGCCGCCGCCCCCGCCTCGCTCTCCCCACCCAGTGCAGTGGCCGCCGCCTCTTCCGCCGCCGGGCTCGGGGCCTCCGCGCCGACAACATGGAGGCTGTGAAAACCTTCAATAGCGAGGTTGGTATTGCAGTCGGCCCCCCTCGCCCTCCCCTCCCCTCCCCGCCTCCCCTCCCCGCCCCCGGGACGGGGCCCGCGCGAGCCGGGTGGGTGCGGGCCGCGGGGCTGCTCGGGGTGGGGCGAGCGGCGGCCTAGCCGTGCGGGGGGAGGGGGAGGGGTGTCGCCGCGCCCCGCGCCCCGCGCCCCGCGCCCCGCGCCCCTCCCCCGAGCCCGAGGGCTGGGCCGGGGGAGGGCCGCCCCGGGCGGGGGGAGGTTCCGGTGCCTCCAGCGCCCCGAGCACTGGCTGGGGCTTTGGAGGGAAGGCCCGCTTGGGCCCTCCCCCCGGAGGCTGCCGGCAGGTCTCTCCGGGTCAGTTCCGCCGAGGCCTGGCCCGCCCACCTCTCTCCTGGGCCTGCGGGATTTTAAGTGCCCGCCGGACCTCGCGGCGCAGGCCGCCCCGTGGCCCCCGTGGGGCCGCGGCCGAGGGGGGTGACCCCCGGTCACGTTGTACGTACTGTTTATATTCGAGACACTGTTGGCTGGGTGACGTGCCCAGCTAGGGATTTATGCGAAGAGAATGGTGCATCGGGAGGCAAGATTTTTTTTTTTTTTTTTTTTTTTTTGCGATTTATTGTACTTTTCCTTCCCTCCTTCCCTCATCATCAGGACGTCCATAAAGACACAAATGGTAGACAGAGATCTATGCTTGGAGAGGGGAAGATGCTGGGGAAGCATGTCCCAAGGGCTCATTCATATGTAAGATCTTAACCCTAGAAAAGAAGCAGGTGTCCAGTTTTCACTACCCCAGTAGTGAAATTGAATTGAATTGAATTTCACTATTGAATTTACTGATCTGAAAGGAGACAGGTTTCGGTAAACTACGTGAATTTCATTTTTGAACTCCGGTTTAAGTAGGCCTTAGTGCAAACATTAAACATAATAAACATCTGTATGCCCGGGGGAAAATATTCTAATCTGATGTTAACTAAAGTCGCATACATTTTATGGACTTTTGATGTGAAAGGGCTAATACTCTATTCGATAGCGTGATTGACAAAATTTTAAATATTCACCACTTAACATATCAGACCTATGGCTCTGATAATCCAAACAGAACAATACTTTTAAAAGCTATTTCACAGCTTTGTTTCTTTTATTTTTTTCTTCCTCTTCTTTTTTTTTTTTTTTTTTTTTTAAGGATTGCGGCTTGGGAAGCTTAGCAAAGAGGCTAACATTCTGTTAGATAACATTCATGTGAATTGGACTCTCCATATTAGAGTACATGGTAGTGACACAGTTATATGAAAGCAGACCCTCTTTTTGTAAATGATTTTTTTTCCTTTGGTATTGGATTTTCTTTCTTTTTTTTTTTTTTTTTAACCACTTCTTGATGAATAGTGCAATAGACTTAGGAGTCTTTTTTCATTTTATTTATGAATTTATAGCTGATAATTATGAAATTTGGTTCTCCCAGCAAAACTTTATAGCGCTTAAATTCCGAAAAAACGTATTTAACAATACAATATGTGTTCCAATTTAATTGTTAATAGTTTCAGGAGAAATTATTTCCTGCACTAGTTTCCTGTTCAAGAATGAAAACAGCTCTATGTACCCTTTTTATTTGCTACATATAGTGGTACAGCACTGTAGAATGTTTACTTTAAAAAATTCTGCATAAGAAAATCCTTTCTCTAATTTCCACTGCAGTTATTTGATTTGCCTCTCCCCTCCTTTTTTAAAGTTTATTTTTTTAGTAATCTTTGCACCTACTGTGGGCCTGGAACTCATGACCTGGAGATCAGGAGTTGTGTGCTCTTCCCACTGAGCCAGCAAGATGCTACTAACCCACACCTTTTTGATGGGTGTCTCTCCTTTTTGTCTAGGGGTTCCCTAATGTGTATCCTCCCTCACTCTCAGCACCTCTGTTCCCCTCAAATTCTGAATAGGATTTCCCATGGTAGATAGAAGAAAGGGATTAATACACCATGGTTGTCACAATAGAGTACAGTGGAGTAGAAATGGTACATTGGTTTTTGTTTTAGCATTGCCATTAAGGCTAGGGGGCCTAACATTTACATGGTTAGCTAGATATTTCACCTCTTTTCTCATCTAACCTTTACAGGACTTTGAGATTGGCAGTAGTCCCATTTTAGCATATGTAGCCCTCTTCCCTTTCTTCCTATGGATTTCAAAGAAAGGAAATCTTTTTACTTCTTTATTTACTAACGTGCTCAAACTTCATGTTTGAATGTGGAGTAGCTTATAAATAGTAGCAGTACAGTCACAGACAGAATACAGAAAGGAAATACATTCAGAGAAGATTCAGAAGAATATACTTTTTGTTTTAAACACAAAATACATAATTTTTTCTGATTTTGAATATAGTTTCCATGAATGTAGTGCTTGCTGATGTTAAAATGTTGCAAGTAAGCATATAATAGGGAATAATTCAGTAATGGATATTTTCCATGAAATTGTGTATGTCAAAGTGCAAAAAATAAAGGAATTTTGAGTTACAGTATTAGGAGAAAAGGAGAGTTTAGAATGTTTATTTATAGTGAATTTGGCTTTTAAAGGCCTATTTAAAATAGGAAATGCTTAGGTTTTATGGCTTGCTAATTCTCAGGTTCTTAAGACCGTCCCCCCTTCTAACATTGGCTTGAAAATAGGAACGTGCCAAAGATTTTAAAGCTAGTAATACAGGTTTGTTTTTTTTTTAAGATTTTATTTTTCAGTAATCTCTATACCCAGTGTGAGACTCGAACTCAAACCCCTGAGATTGAGTCGCATGCTTTAACACCTAAGAGCCAAGCACCCCAAATTAAGAATATAGATTTTTAATTTGCAAAGCACAGATGAGTTTCAGTTGAAAATCCATGACCTTATTATGTTTGATATTTGCGAGTCATGGTCAACATGTGCAGGTGCCCCACTCCCATCTATCATAATCTTTCAAAGGGGTCTGTGGCCCCTCCTTCCCTATGTACAAAGACACTGTCAGAAGACCTTTTATTTGGTAAATTCTTCTTAATTATTGTGAGTTCAATGAAATTGAGGCCTGAGAATTGATGTTTATGTGCCCTCTGTGCTAGTTTTGTGAGAAAGCCGTAATTTACAGTTAAGCATCATCATTGTGATGGGTTAATCCAGTGAGCAGTAATGTCAGTTCTGAAGTGATGAAAAAAAGTCCAGATTGGAAAATAAGACTCCCTGAGAGTCTATGCTTGACCTGAGCAGTTAACGCTAAAAGAATTATTATCGTTACAAGTATCATAGTTGTAGCTGCTCTAAGATGGTGGCATATCCTTGTTATGATAGTTTAGAGGTCTCAGGTCAGTGAAAAGGGTCGTCTCATTGGTCTGCTTAAATTCTGTTTTTAGGACAATAATTGATTACTCCAGTGTATCAGTTTTTTTTTTTTTCCCCAGTGTATCAGTTGTATGTGAGCTGCATATCTGTACTCTGTCCTTAAGAATGCCACTGTATAGTGGTCATTAGGGTAAGGTTATTTTTGTTTTTGAAGAGAGAGAGAAGAATTAGCAATGCATGACTCTTAGAAAATTTTATCTTAATTGGAGAAGGCACTTTTGTAATCTAGGAACTCTTAATACATGCATAATAGAAGAATCTGTTATGCATTGGTTATGTTTTGGCAAAGTAACTGGAGGAGATGAATTTTACTTGTGTATTAGATTCTTTTAATTTTTAAGGACTTAAAAAATAACATCAGTACCATTACTGTACTTCAACTGTTACTATACTTCAACAAGGTAACATTTTTAGCATAATCAAGTATCAGTCAGCGATCAGGTTTTTTCCCAAGTTCTTTGTATAGCTTGTTGTATTACTGTAGTTTTTTCCATCATGATCCATTTCTCTTGCTGCTCAGAAAAGTATTGAGTGGGTAGCTGAAGGACCAGATATGTAGGTGTGAGATGTGTCAGGAAAATTATCACAATTTAAATTTTGGATTTACCTTGATTCATAAATTGTGAGATGATTATCATCTTTGGGATGCCTGGATTCTCAGTGTTTTTGGTCTTTAGGACTTTTTCAATCACATAGCTTACTCTAAACTGTTCCAGGATGCAGACTTTCCAGAGTCCCGTTAACATCCAGGACCTTTTCCTCTTCCATGCCTTGTGAAGTCCCATCTCTGTTTTACTCCATTTCTTTTGTTTCCAGAATGTTCATTTGTCTAACTACAGGACTTTTTATAATATTCCCAGCAGTATCTAGTAGTAGGCATGGGATGGTGAATAGTGGGAAAAGGTAGAGGGAATAATAAAAGCATGTGAAATTCATTTTTTATTTGTATGTTTTCCTGTTGTCTGTGGTTCAAGAAAGGGATTTTTATGTGAGGGAGCTATTAAAATGCTGCATTTTAAAATTTCATTTTCACCTATCAGGGAGTCTGTCTCCTTTTCTTTCCTTAGTCTTCACTGTTTTAACTTTCCAGTGGGTGTTTTGGTTAATTGTATCAATCAAACTTTTTTGTTTCAACCTGTGAAGCCCTTAGAGATACAGCATACTTACTTAATGTTATAAAAGAAGGAACCCAAAATGAGTGAAAATATCAGTGAGGGTCACAGAACATGAGAGACTCCTAACCTGGAAACGAACAAGGGGTAGTGGAAAGGGAGGTGGGCGGGGGGATGGTGTGACTGGGTGACGAGCACAGAGTGGGGGCACTTGATGGGATGAGCACTGGGTGATATGCTATATGTTGGCAAATTGAACTCCAATAAAAAATAAGTAGATAAATAGATTACATTTGTCTTTTCCATAAAATAAATAAATAAAAGAAGGAACCCTTCACTAAGCCGTCACTGTCCCAGTGGTTTAGATGAGAGTTTCTCAACCTCAGTACTGTTGATATTTTAGGCTGGATAATTGCTATGAGGAGCTTTCCTGTGCATTATATGATCTTTACCAGTAATCCTGGCCTCTACCCACAAGGTGCCACTATTGTGACAACCAGAAATGTCTCCAGACATCATCAGATGTCCCTTGGGGAACAAAATAGACCTTGGTTGAGAATCACTGATTTAGTTCCCATTATACCATCCTTTTAAAAAAAAAAAGTACTTTCCCTTCTTAGGATTACTGTAAGTAATATAGTAATAGTCTTTTCCACCAGACTTTAAGTTTCATGAGGATAGTGATCATATATTTTTTTTTTGTGATCATATATTTTGATTGCTTCATATCCTCAGTACATAGCAGGGTACCTAAATACATACTATGTGTCAGAGATTTCTTGAGAATGAATGAATGGATGATACACTTGGGATTAAATGACTTGGATGAAGGTAGTTAACATTTCTAGACATCTGGTTTCCTCTATGTAAGTAAATGATTTGAGATTATATTTAGGAGATTCTTTGATTAAGTATAAAATAATTTTGGGGAGGACTCAGTACCTTTAAGGATTTTTTTTGAAGGTCATTTTATGGCACTGTAGGAGTCCAGATCAGTTGGAAAATTTTAAATCAAAACTCTGATCTGTTTGTAATTTTCATTTACTAAGGAGGGAGTGTTGGGAGGAGACTATTGCATTTGAAAGTTCCAGTTAGATTAAATCCATCTTAAGCTTCGTTTTGTAATTATGCTATTTTCATACCATTTTTTTGCTTCACTGCTTTTCAATTTAAAAAAAACATATGGTAAAAAGGTGTGGGTTTTTTTTCCTTACAATATTTTAAAAATTTAGAAAACAAGGATAATTGAGATTGATAATTATATTTTTGAGACTCTACTTTGAGAGTGTTATAGTCTTAATCATTCAAGATAAATATAACAATTTTTTGGCAAGATTGAAATAGCTCTATCATTTTTATTCTAGGCTAGCATTGAGTTTGTTACAGTAATTTTGATTGACATTTAGGGGACATGTGTATTCCCCAGTTTCCTAAATAGTCATATTTTATGATCACTTGCTGCTTTTTTTAAGAAGTATAATTGGCTTAGAATTAGTGATGATATTACTACTTGCACATGGAATTTCAGATATCTCTTTCTAGGGCCAGTTTTCCTGTTATTGGACAACTTCTAACTCAAAATGGTATGAGAGAATGTAATCAACCTTGACCTTGAACACTGGCTGAGCTCCTGAACTCGAGTGAGCTCATTTTATCTGGTTTTGTTTTCTCAACATCTTTCTCTACTCCTCTCTCTCAGGATTGTGCCTCTACTCCTGCTTGTACAGACTGCTTTTCCAGCAGCATGGACACAAGAAGCATAGTAAGATGATTATAACGCACATAAGGCAGGCCCTTTGGAAAATATTAGGTTTACATTGGTAGTGAAATGATGTCTTGATTATATGGGCAGTAATTGGGAAGCAGAATGAAGTTTGTCACTTCAAATATATTAGTAATCTTAAAAAGGGCATGTAGGGAATAGTTGAATTTCTTCACAAAAAAATAGGATAAGTGAAAAAGTTATTGTGCTTAATAGTGAACATAAATCTTAAATTATTCTTGTTTCATTTACTTGCATTGTGCTCCGCATAATTTTACTATATTGTGAAAGGAATATAAGATTACATATTTAACGTGAATAAATTGTAAGCCTGAAAATTTGATGGTTGGAAATAAAATACATCTTATAGTTTGAAGAACTTATTCAAACTATAAGATGGACAGATCATTGACAGATATGCTATAGGGATGGAGAAACAAAAAAAGGACTAAATCAAATTTTTGATTTTCTAATTATAGAGGAGCAGATTTTGGTATTGCTACATTATGAGATGTAAATGCTGATAAGAAATGTTTCTATAGCCTGTAATTTTTTATGTGAGTTAATTCTGTCTCAAGTTTGATGATAAACGATGCATTTGTGCTTTGATTCTAATTTTATGCATTTATTTGGTCTTCTAATTCTGCTTTACAAGAATTTTTCATTCACATTTTAAACTGAGAGGAGGATATGTAAATGCGTTCTGGTATCTGCTGTAGGTCAAAAAATACCTTAGTAACTGATGGTCACTACATTTAATCAGAATGAGGAATAAAGGATATTGTTTTTTAAAGATAGTTATTGACTTACGTTAATGTATGACAAGCTTGTCTTTAAAATACTTCTACAACTTAATTTATATAGGTTGATTTGAAAAATCTAAGATTTCATTCATTCATTTGTTCATTCATTTAATCAATACTGAAGGGCCTACGGGTGTCCCAGGCGTTTTTCTTTCTGCCTGTAAGCAAGACAAGCAGGAAGCATACCGTATTCTTTGTTTTTCTGTCGCTTCATCAGCTTTGTGTGCAGTGAGTGTGAGCTTGCCGCGGAGCCAGTGAGGCCGTGTGGGCATCGCTGAGGGGTTGCTGAGGGTTGCGGCCTGCTGGAGACCGGGCTGCTCGCTGCCCTTGCGCTTGTCTGGGCGGGGTTCTGCCTGCTCTCTCTCAGCCTTTGCCTTAGAGCCTAGAAAGCTCACCTGCTGTTCAAGACAGAGATGGAGCAAATAGGCTCACACAAGAATGGGACTTTATGTTTTCAACAATGGCAAAGGAAGAGGTTTTATACGAAATTTTCTATCACATGTTTAAAAAAATCTCTTTGGTTTGGAATCGTAACTGTTGCTTAAAAGATAACAGCTTTAAGAATATTTCCTTTTGTCAGTGAAATGTTAGTCCCCAGGTGCAAATAATTTTTAAAAAAGCTTTTCTTAAGTGGCGACCAAACCTTTATGAATTTGGAAGAATATTAGTATTTTTATTTTTAAAATGAACTCTGGCTTGATTTAAGTACATGAGAAAAATTGGTCTCTTTCGTATAAACACTTTTTCTTTAAATTTGATTGGATTCCTCAGGGCTAATTTGAGAAGCTTGTGAGTGAAAGATGAAACACTTTGGATCACGTGTCTTATATCTTAGTATGTAGAATTTGGGAAATGGTTTAAAGATCTTTTTATCCTGGGGCACAGCACCTAAAAGGTTTAGTGGTACACCTGAAACTGATACAATGTTCTATCAGTTAGCGTTTAACTAAAAAAAAAAAGTCATCCAAGCCCTAGTTAATGGCTTTTTTAATTTGAGTAAGATTTTTACACTATAAAATTTTATGGTAAAAAATATATGTAGGGGTGTTTGAATTTGTTGAAATATTTGAGGTATGTGGGTAAAAAGAATGCTGAATAAGTTAACATTTTTACAAACTGAAACATATATAGCAGATATCTACTTTCTATAATAGAAGCTTTCTGTGATGAAAAATGTCTGGCGTATGTATTTTTGAAATACTTCTTGTTTACCAAACCCTGTTAAGAGTGAGCCACTTTATAATATGTAATGTTTTATATCCTGACCCTCTTTTCCCTAACCATCATGTTTCAGTGGAATTTTAGGATAAACTTGTGTGAAAAGTAGGATAGGTGCTTCTTTCCTTTTATTGACTAGAAAATAGGGCCACCATTGTGATTTTACCAACAGAATGCTACTTTTAAGTATTATCGCAGAGACTAGAAGGGACCCAGGTCTCAACCTCTGGTTGTTGTTTTTTTTTTTGTTGTTGTTGTTTTACCATTCTGTGTCAAGGGGAACTGTCACTCAGTTTTTCACAATTCCTTTTTACTGGCATGGTACTAATTATAAATTAGCTTTATTTTTTTCCCACTTTTGGATTTTACTTTAAAACTTCAGATGTATAGAAAAGGTATAAGAATGATAGAGTTTTATGTACACCTTATCTTGATTTCTCTATATTAACCATTTTTACTCTTTTGTTTACTCTTCATATTAACATGAACACATGCAAACTTTTTTTGACATTATGATCGAGAATGCAATTCATGATGCCTTTTACTTTTAAATGACTATTTTCTACAAACAGTGACATTCTTCTACATAGCCATAATACAGTGATCAAAGTCAGAAAATTAACATTGGTATAATGCAATTGTCTGCAGATCTTATTCAGATTTTATTATATCAGTAATGTCCTTTAATAATAGAATAAATCCTGCACCACATCTTGCTTTCATTCATCTTGTCTCTTTAGTATCCTTTAATCTGAAGTAGTTGCTTATAACTCTTTCTTGACCTTTTATGATCTTTGATGATATTTAATGTTAATAGGCAGTTATTTTTAGGATTCTCTCAACATGGCTTGTCTGCTGTTGCTTCATGATTAGATTCAGGTTATGCATTTTTGGCAGGAATACTCAGAAGTGATACTGTTCTCTCAGGAAGCTCATGATGTCTATCTATCCCCATTAATAGGGATGTTAACTTTTTTCTGCAAGATTTCTCCATTGTAAAGTTACTATTTTTTTCATTTGTAACCAGTATCTTAACTGGTTTTTTTGAAACTAAGCACATACCTTGTTGCTTATCAAATTTTCAGGTTTAAGTATCCATTTAGTTCTTGCCCAAATCAGTACTAGGATGATTGCCAAAAGGTGATTTTCTGTGCCTATCATTTCTTCATTTATTACTGGCATTCAGTAAGAGCTTTTCCCTCTCTCCATTTATGTGTGTATGTATGCATATTGGTATGAACTCATGGATTCCTTTTATCCATTGGGGTTTTTTGATGCAGACTCAGTTTTGACCCGTCAGAGATGCTTCAAGCTGTCCCTGTGTCTTTCTGAGGTTTGATACATATCTTTTGAGTACTCTCTTTCTTATGTAGTAAGATACTGGAATCAGCCATTTCTCAAGGAGCTCTGGTTTCTTCTTGTGGATATTTATTAATGGATTGAACTAGAAAATTTATATATTTATAAGAATATACATGTATGTATATACACATAAATTTTTTTTAACTGTCTGCCTATATGAAAAGCCATGAGTTCACCCTGATGTCTCCAGTTCCATTACAACAACTGTAGGGTTCATTCTGATCTCTCCCCTTTCCAATTCTGTATGTAACTCCTTTCTCTGACAGAAAACTAGTTTCTGTTATCCACAATGTATTTATATCTATTTGTTCAAACATAAACACGCAAAAAGTAGTTTCAGAATTGCTAGACTATATGTCTCTGAAAACCTATTAACTAGAATTTAATACTTGTTTATAGTTCATGTTTTGTTTAACCTGAGGGTATATAGTCAGAATGCTGTGTTCAAACATGGTTTGGTTAGTTTTTTCCCCTTAATGTAGTTTTGCTATTTATTTGAAATAGAATTAGATTCAGGGTTTTTTGTTTGTTTGTATTCCATTTTGTTTTTTCCTTCATCTTTTTTGTTATTTCTTTAGTATGGAAAACATTAAACATAAATTAACATTAATATTTTTATTCGTTTCACCATTTGTAGCCACTTATGCTATAGTTAAATTTTTTTTTTCTTAACATTTTTAAAATAACCAGCCCAAATTCAGAAATTTAGTTATGGAGAAGGACTTAGGTGAAAGATATGTTTCTAATAGTGCAGATTCAATTCATCAGTGAAAGAGAGTATGCAAAACTTTTATTCTCTTGTGAATGGAATGTCCATTCACAGGGGGCAATAAACTGTTCCTGTAGAGGACAGATAGATAGTAAATATTTTAGGTTAGTCCCTTAAGGTCTCTTACACATGTTCTTACTGGTCTTTCATAGTTCTTTTATTTTTTTTAAGATTTTATTTATATATTCATGAGAGACACAGAAAGAGGCAGAGAGACACAGGCAGAGGAAGAAGCAGGCTCCATGCAGGGAGCTTGATGTGGGACTCGATCTTGGGTCTCCAGGACCACGCCCTGAGCCGGAGGCAGACACTCAACCGCTGAGCCACCCAGGCAATCCTCATAGTTCTTTTAAAATATAAAAAATGCTCTTGGCTTAAGGGCCTACGAAAATAGGCCAGTGGCCATTTTTTTGCTGGCTCCTGCTGCAAACATTGAAAACTGAGAACTTGATTGATAACATACTACTTATAAGTCAAAATTATAAATGAGTAAGAAAATATATTCCTTACAGGCTTTATAATAGGCTTATTTGAATGTCAAAAACAGATACAATTTGAAAAGCTGCTTAAGTGAAAATAACTTACTCAAAATTTTTGAGTACTTACCACCAAGTACAGACACTCTTCTAGCCTCTAGAGACTTAACTGTATACAAAATAGACCTCAAAAGAAAACAGAACCCCACCCCAAAAAACCCTCTGCCCTCATGGAGTTTACATTCAGTATTTGTATGGGTGTATACTGGAAATTCATATCTCTTTTTTTTTTTAACTCATTTAGTGACATTTTATCTATTAAAAATTGTTTTCATATCAATACAGAGCAAGCATTTTCTTTTTTTTTCTTTT